TCGCTCTACAGAATGGTGCTTAAAGCTCGGCGGAAGACATGAAAGCAAGAGGGTTATCAACGATCAAACAGTGTTATTTTTGGGACACCCTGTATACGATAATAATTAGAGATTCGCAAGTTAGTTGAAATTCTCAATTTTATTTGGTAATGGAAACTAACCCGTATTCTGGATGATAAAGCATCATTGGGACAATCGGACTGTCATCGCTGCCGTGAACAATAAAACCCATCTGCTTTAATCGTATACGGAAATAGTGAGCGTTTCGAGCAAGCTGTTTGATACGACGAATGCCTAAACAACGTATAATTTAAAGTGATTATGATGTTCAGCGATGATTTATTACCGTCATCTGTGCCGTCCTTGCCCATGATAATGCTCATCGATGTAATTATTTGCTGCGCCACCGGTGGCGACATTGGAGACGTGTAAAAGCTGGTCGGTGAATTTACACGCAGATGGTCAATAACTTTCTGAGATGTGTACAACCACCTTTGTTTGTACTTTATCTCCTTTCAACTGCTCAACATTTCCACACCTTTGTTCCAGCTATAAATCCACCAGAAGCGCCGAAGCTTTTTGTAAACGTTCCCATGAGTATGTCAACATCATTTGGGTCACATCCCCAGTATTCAACCACTCCTCTGCCTGTGGCTCCAAGACTACCTAAGACCAGACAGACAATGCGAGTTAGACGGGTGTAAGTCCTATTAGGTTGTAGGGAAAGTTCTGCCAATAGAGGTGAACCTAATTTGTTTCATTCGTATCTTCATCATAAGAGGGTCAACGATATTTTGTTCATGTGTACTGGCAACCTTAGAACTACTTGAAATCATAGACGATTTTATCAAGAAGTGCGCCGGCTGCCTTTCGAAACAAGTGAGAAGTTCCCTTTGAACGCTGAAATCAATGGGCTATCTTCTGCTTGGAAAACGCCCGGGTACCGGAGCAAGTAATATTTGAAAGTCACATCATTTAATCAATACGAAGAGTATAAAATGGTTTTTTGAATCAACTTCTGCAAGTTATATGCG